AGTTTTTTCGCTGTTTTTGACAGATGTTCCTTGAAAGATAGGGGTTCTGTCAAGAGACATCCCAAGATACATTGGTGTTTTATTGTTAGCGAGTGTGGTGTTTTCGAATTGAATGTTGAGTGTTCTCCTACTTTTCTGCCTAAAAAATAGGCGATTTCAGGTCAATAGGTCATGTCCTTCACGGGCTCTCCGAGAGCTTAGTGCTCTTCGGGCTCTGCTTTATTTTTAGCTTTTTTCCATACCCTGTGGCTGAGATGTTATTCTACTGTCAATCTGGTATTTTTTATTTCGACTTAACCTTTGTCATCTGGCTAATTGGCTCTGCCAAAGCCATTTTTCAGGAAAAAAAAAACCTTTGTCATGTAAGAAATATCTTACCTTTTTCAAGGCAAGATACCAGAAGAAAACATTTTAAGCGAGTCCATACCCCGAAAAGGACTTAAGTAGAGAGCTATCGTTGATGTTTTCGAAGCCCTCTACAGAGCACCCCGGAGGCATTAGAAGGCGTTTAGACCCTTAATTATTTACCCCGAGGTGACAGAAGTGAGTTTTATTAGAAATTTTTGGATATAATGCAAGATGTTTTCCTTGCTTGACAAGATATTTCAAATATCTTGTCTCCAAATTGTGTCATGGGCGTGAGTTATATATAAGTAAACAGTTCTGCCCACAGCCAAATGATTCATGTAACTACAGACTCTATATTTACTATGTTATCAGTAGTATACCAAGATTTTCTAAAGTTGCTTTTAATTGAGCTAGGTGCAACAGAAATCTATTACTGACCATTTTCTCGAGTAGTTTTGACATGGAACATGTTAAAGAGATGGGACTGTAAGATTCTGGATCCAATTTACTTTTACCATTTTTAAGTACAGAAATTGTGATAAATTTTATAGCAATCAACAAGAAAGACATTTTTTGTCAAAATAAAATTATAGAGGTCTAGTAGAATAAGTGCTGTCTATTCGAACTTGAAACAGTCGCTTTAGGAGAAATTTTTGGATAAAATGCAAGATGTTTCCTTGCTTGACAAGATATTTCAAATATCTTGTCTCCAAATTGTGTCATGGGCGTGAGTTATATAGAAGAAAACAGCTAAACAGTTCTGCCCACAGCCAAATGATTCATGTACTACAGACTCTATGTTTACTATGTTATTAGTAGTAGACCTAGATTTTCTAAAGTTGCTTTGAATTGAGCTACGTGCAACAGTAATCCTACTACTGACCATTTGCCCGAGTAGTTTTGACATGGAACATGTTTAAGAAATGGGTTTTGTAACTTTTTTTTTATTATTAAAATATAATTATTTTTAATTTCTTTTACCCCCTTGCGATACGCCGATGATTAGGAATTCCCGTGTTTACGATAAGAAAATAATATTGGATCTACTAAATTATAATGGACTTCCCTAATTACTAAAGGTAGTTAATCCTTTCCGTCTTAATACTCAGTATGAAAAGATCTAATGCTTTTGGAGTATGCAGGTTCTTTTACATAAATTGATAATTTTCGCCTAAGGCCCGTATATTTTTGACAATAACTTAATCCCAAGTATTGTCTGCTTCTCATGTCCAATTGTTGGTACGGTAACTCAAAACTTTCGGAATTTTTACTTCCTCAGAATTACCTACAACTGTCCGATGATTTTAAGTGGAGGATATACCGTCTTCTTCTTTTTTCTTGGATAGTTGGTGAAATTTTTAGTGGAACCAACTTACTTCTCGGTGGGCTCTCGTTGAGCACAGGTCGATTATCTCGTGAGACTTCTCGGTGGCCTCTCGTTGAGTGTGGTCGCTTGCCTGAAATTATCGTCTCTGTGAATTATTTTCTCAGTGTGTATACACTCTATATTTCAGTTTTCTTGTCTTAGACTATATTAAGTTATATATAGTTCTACACTACCTTTAATGGTACCTAATTAAATTCAGTGTTGAATACCAGCACAGTATATTAAATTCAGTGAATTAAGCTGCCGTCATCAGGAATTATGTAAGTTACCATAATCTTTATCTGCAAATTATCTGGGCGAGTAATATGGTATGATATAATACCACCTGCCATAATCTGGACGTATCACCCATCATATCATCCATATCTTCATCTGTAAATTGCCGATTTTTATATTTAATTTAAAGAACAATTCAAGAACTTTCCATAAATAATAACTATGAACATCTCAGTTTAGACAGGCCATTCACGTTCCGACTTGTGGTCCCACTTAATAGGACTACTAGTTGGATGTTCGGCTCCACTCACGCTCCGACTTTCTATCCAACTAGCGGTCCAACTTCAGTTCTAGGTTGTTTTTCACGATGGTGTACATCGCTTAACCAAAAAATGTATCGAATAAACACTACGCAAAATATAATATATATTATGATATTGTATATTCAAAATTAGTTTCGTTTCTCTAGTTATTTGTATAGGGCTGAACTAATTAATTTTTTCAACCCTTGATTTTTATGACTTTTTAAGATGTAAGAAAAAATTATAGTTTTTAAAGATTTGTGTAGGTATAAAATCTATATTTTATTTGTTTTAAACTGGAGTTGAGATTTATTTTGTTGTGTGTTGTGTCGTATAATTTTTAATAGGAATAATTTTTGGTGCCATTGAAAGTTATTTTCTATTATTTTTTTGCGAACTAGGGATCTTTTGCTACAACTATGATTTAATTTTCATTGTTTGTTGATAATTCTTCCGTAGCCAATCCGGAGTATCGGAAATTTACCTGTATGGGAATGTCCGAAATAGATCTACAGAAAGGAAAATTATTTGCCTTAACAAAAAGGTAATTTTCGTGCAATTGAAAGTTTATTTTCTATTAAATATTCGCGAACTAGAGATCTTTGCGTAAAGTATTTCATGGAAATCTAATACGTAACAGGTGCCGAAGGTCAACTGACTGAGGAAATTTTCTATCCTACCTGTTGATCCGACTTCCAACTTCACCATTCACGCTCTCGACTTCGTCGCCAGTCGTCTTCAAGTCGTCCCACTAGATGTTCCGAGTCGTACCACTAGTTGTACCAACTAATCCAACAAGCCCACTCACGGTCCGATTTCAGATCCAACTGCAAACGTTGGACCACTAAGTCGTACCACAAGTCGGAACGTGAATGGCCTGCATTTTTTAGCATTAATTAATAGTGCGAGATAGTAACCCACCTGGCCAAGTGCGTTTGGCTAGTTAATGTTTTCAGCTCTGTAACCTGTTTGTTTTTTTTGTAAATTTAGAGTTAAGAAATTTTTGCTATCTTTTGTATTTGCTATAATTTTTGCTCATTATCTTTCCTATAATATCTCGAGATGCGCCCAAACTATATTTGTATATGATTGCCTTATATATTCTTGGTAAAGGTATTTTTTTATTATATTATTGCTTAATTTTATACATATATAACACCATTTCATAGTTGTGTATTTTTATTACTTGTGCTGCATTTAGCAGCATCATAATGTTGTGTTTAAGATATTGTTAATGTTTTATGCATGTATTTTATTTGTCGGCTCCTAACAAGTTCCCTGATAAAATAGTAGCTCTAAATATTTGCTTAGTATATTAATTTATTACTATACCTTTGACCAGTAAAAGATCAGGCTGATTAAGTTTCGTAAGGTAAGTAAGTTGTAATACCATAATATAATTATATTATTTTGTTTATATATATGTTAGTGTTGACCAAATTTATTTGATAATTAACTGTTGGTATCTTTCCTTGGGTTTGATCTCTGATCTCTGAAGGATATCTTTCCTTATCTCTTTTCTTTCTAAGGTTTCTTAATTTCTCCTAACCCAAAAAATGTGCGCTCTGTTTCTCTCTCTTACTTTGGAATTTACCCATCTAATTTTTGTTTTTCTATACTTTTCTAATACTCTATCCATCTTTACTATTTCGTCCGTTGGACCATCCCGTTCAAAAGCTAGTTTCGAACCCACGACTCGCTCTCCACCAACCATCTGGCTGCCGTCCGCAGTGTCTCCATTGGTTATCTTTCTAACACCATCCAAAACAGATTTCCGACGTTACAGTCTGTAAGATTCTGGACCCGATTTACTTTTACCATTTTTAAGTACAGAAATTGTGATAAATTTATAGCAATCAACAGAAAAGACATTTTTTGTCAAAATAAAATTATAGAGGTCTAGTAGATACTGCTTGCCTTCAACAGGTAAAGCTTTAAGAAATTTGGTTGGGATTTTGTCAGGTCCGGGCTTGCATTCTTTAATTGGTTAAGAGATTCATAGAGCTCATCCATTATAAATTCTACATTTAAAGGTGAACGACACACTTTTGTATATCTGATTTTTAAATACAAATACATGTTTCAGCTATTTTACTTGGTATTTCAAATTCTGGAGCTACAATTATTGGATTCTTCGCGACAATGGTTGTTGGATTATTAACGTTTCAAAATGTAAGTATTAGTTTGTTATACTAAAACAATTTTTAATTGAAGGTGATTACTGGCAACATCGTACTTAACGAAGCCCTTAACGATAACTTTTCAACGAAATCGTATTGAAATTATCAATTTTGCAGAGGCGTGCCAAAAAAAATTTCATTCTTTATTTAAACACATAAGTAATTACGTAAAAATTAAATCTAAGACCGATTTAATTATTAAATTATCATGTCTCTTTTAACAGGTATCTTATAGTTGTTTAACAAAATAAAATAAAATTTTATTCTTATTAGAGAGTATCTAATACAGAACTTCAAAAACATAAACTTTGGAAAATAATTTTTTTTTTCATTAGACTAAAAACAATCTGCAATTTTAATTACACATCATTCTCTATTTATAGAATTGTCTGTGTGCTGTAAACGTTATATTTGTTTTTTTTTTTAACTTAATTTGAAAGTTTGCTTGTGTTTATTTGTTTATATAAATATGAAAATATATTATGAAGTTCATATAAATTAAAATGAAGTAAGCTAAACTATTATCATAAGAATGCGTTTATATAGCAGTGCATTTGTTTATTTCAGTAAATTCTCGAAATATGAAATGAAGGTGGCACTAACTACTAAAGAGTTAATAGCTTTGTTAGAAGAAGACTCAGATTGTGAAAATGCCACTTAATGTGGTTTATTTGCCGCCGAGATTAGATTAGAAAGTTTCTGATGTAGAAGACATTGATCTTCTTCTTCTTCTTCCTTCTGGTTTGTAGGCTTTAAAGCCTGTTTCTTCTTTAATATTAGCTTCCTAAATTGTTTTAAATTGTCGCACCATCTTTTTCTTGGTCTGCCAATACTTCTTCGTCCATTTGGTGACTTATCTCGTGCTATTCGTACTATTCTATCCTCCGCCATTCTACTGATGTGTTTGTTCCACTTTGTTTTTCGTTTTGTCACCCATCCATTTATGTCTTCTATATTGCATGCTCTTCTTATGTTTTTGCTTCTCTCCCTATCCAACAGACTTCTCCTTGATATTCGTCGGAGTATTTTCATCTCTGTTGTTTTTAGCAGTCGTCTCGTTTTAGATGTGTCAGGTCTTGTCTCAGCCGTGTATGTTAATATAGGTCTAATTCCTGCTTTATAGACTCTTGTTTTTGTGTCTTGTCTTAGGTGTTGTTTCCAGATTGTGTCATTAAGAGAACCCGCCGCTTTACTTGCTTTTAAGCTTTGCTGTCGTACTTCTTCTTCAACATCTCCGGGAATTCTAACGATTCTGATTATGATATTTCTCTGAACCACAGATAAAACGTCCAAAAAAAAACAGGCAAAAAATAGTAAATCCAAATTTATCTCAAGTTGTAATAACAGATATTCTTTCGTGCTCAGTAGTAATTCAACATCAGTCTGATTGATATTTAAACAATATAAAAGCCAACCATGTAGGCAAGTCATATTATTGAAGTTTTTTCACTCTTTTTGATAAAAAAGTAATTGAGAATAACCGTTACAATTTGAAATGAATAACATAGATTTAAAAAATTATAGCATGATATTATTGTTACCTCTTCAAGTTGTAATTGGCAAAGATGAGGATAAAGAGTATTATAGAGAAAGCTGAGCCGACATAGATTTATAGAAGACCGCTACATCAGTGTCTGTACATGGGCGTCAATCTAAATTTGCTTTACCAGATGAAACCAGATTCGACAATATTGGCCACATTATAAAAAGAGACGATAGTGCAAAAATGTAGGATGTACAAAAGTAATACTATTTATTTATGTAAAAAGTGTAGAATGCATCTACACTCCGAATATTTCGAAAATTTTTACCTTAAAATTTAATTTACGTTTAAGATACAATATGTTCCTTTATTAAAAATTGTACTGTTTTCCTTAAAAATGAGAAAAAAAAAATCTTTTTGGTTGTAATTTATTCCTAATTTGTGTTTTTTAATCCAATCTAATAAATTAATTGTCAAATTTCTCTTTGTATATTGAGCGGCCGTTAAGGTTTAATACTATATAAAGAATAAACTGGCCTCAAATTTACTTTACTTACCTCAAAACTATTTTAAAGTTAATAATAAAGTAATTTAATAAATATATTCCCAATAATACACTACGCCTATGTACATATGTGTAAAATCTGGAAGATATCATATTTCATAAACTTCAATAAACTAAGATATCATATTTCTCTAATTAACATTCTTTCTAAATAACGTAAATATATATAGACCAGCAAAATATTGATAATTTTACCGATTATTCCAAACTATTCTATGAACTTGTCTCACTATACACTCGTGAATCGCATCAATTTATATTGTTACGAGGGGCAAATTTATCTTAGATGGGTTACAAATTTACATATTTACATGGGCGAAGCATACACAATAAAAATGACCCCGGTAAGAATTTACTAATGAAATTTTGCATGGTTGCCGCTACCGTTTAGTTCAATTTGTAGATTAGTCACCTTATAATTGAAAATTGTCTGACTATAGTATGAATTTATTTTGTTTTTTATTAACCGCATCAACTACTGAGAGTTTCTGATGAACAGTTTGGAAGTAAATGCATACCTATCATTCTCGTTTTGTTAATGCTTAATTTACCTATTCAGGCCGCCTTGGCACGCACTCTAAATTAGGTAGATAATAATTTACAAGCATAAAAAATCCTCAAAAGAACTTCGTTTCACTTTATCCAACATTGTACGGTACATTTAATTACATCTCAAGTTGCTTGGATTAATGGATACTGTCGTCAGCTGGAATAGTTTCACCGTACAACACAAGTGAAATGTATGTGGTCGCTGAAATATTCGCATCACTTACCAGATAATAAATTGTTTATTAGAAACTTGATAGTAATTAATGATACTTATGTAATTATTAGAAGGATTTTGCAACTGTGTAATATATAAATGCAGATGCAAAATATGCTAGTGGAGGAGAGTTGAATTTGTTTTTGTTCATGCCCACAACTATTTATGTTTATTTTTTTTAATTTCTCAAAAATGTATGCTCTAAAAGTCACAAAAATTAACAAAATCTATGTTTAAAAAAATTGAAAAACTTAAATTTTTTTGATAAGTTGTAACGATTATTGCCTACAAATAGAGTAGATTACTATCTCTCTCTCTTCAATCCTGACCCCCCAGGGGAGTGTAGTGGTCGACGTGATGTCGTGTATTGTCCGTCTCCAGAGATCTCTGTCTCTGGTCATTTCTTTTAATTCATGCATAGGTCTTTGGCATATTCCTGTAATTTGATCTATCCATCTTGTTGGGGATCTTCCTCGTGATCTTCGGCCTTCTACCTTTCCTTGTATTATGAGTCTTTCCATGTTTTCTGTGTTTGCTCTCATAACATGCCCAAAATATTTTAATTGTTGGAGATGGACTTTACTAGAGAGTCGTTGGCTAACTTTTAGCTCTCTTAAATTTGAATTATTTGTTCTGCGGTCGGTCCAAGGAATTCGTAACATTCGTCTCCAACAGAACATTTCAGTGGCGTCTATCTTTCTTCTCTCCGATTGTCTCAGAGTCCAAGATTCACATCCGTAGGTCAGTATTGGGAATATTAAGCAGTTGATCAACCTCATCTTTATCGCTCTTGAAATTTGACAGTCCTTCCATATTTTTGGTCATTTTTGCTGTGGCAACTTTTGCTAGATCACATCTACGTTTAATCTCTTCTTGTAATGACCCTGTGTTTGTGATTAATGATCCCAGATATAAGTATGAGCTCACAACCTCGAACCGTCAATTGTGTTAGTGTGGATGATTTTGTGCATCTATCACTGATATCTTTGTCTTTGATATGTTTAATTGCAGACCAAATATTTACTTTCGTTTTCGATCAGTCGTATAAGTTCTATCAGCTCTGCTTGACTATTTGCAAGAAGGGCTGTGTCATCTGCGAAACGTAGGTTGTTTTAGTTTATGACCATTTATTGAGATGCCCTTTTCCCACCTTCAAGTGCTCTTCGCTATAATTACTCCCCATATATGTTGAATAATTGTGGAGATAGTATACATCCTTGTCTGACACCCCGTTCTGGATGAATCTCGTTCGAAAGTGTGTCAAGTACTTTAACTGATCCAGTAGTGTGTTCATATAGTTCGGTTATAAGCGTAATTAGATGTTGTGGTACGCCTACTTCTTTTAGTATTCGCCATAAGTGTCTCCACTTGACCCTGTCGAACGCTTTACGGTAATCTATAAAACAGATGTATAGTGGGATGTTGAATTCCCTAGATTTCTCGATTATCTGTCTTATATTCAGCAGGTGTTCTCGAGTGCCTCTACCTTTGGTAAATCCAGTTTGCTCTTGTGGAATTTCTCTTTGAAGGAATGTTTTCATCTCCTTGATTATATGTCATTATCTTGCTGGCATGGGATATAAGAGAGATAGTTCTATAATTGTCGCATTTATGGAAGCTGCCTTTTTTTATGTATGGTCGTTATTGTAGATTTTGTCCAGTCTTCAGGCCATTGTTTGGAATGCCATATTTGGTTACAGAGTAGATGAAGTAACTTTACGCCGGTTTCTTCTGTGGCTTTAAGCATTTCTGCTGTTATCATATCTGGACCTGGTGCTTTGTTATATTTGAGCTTGTTGATAGCCTGTCTTACTTCATTTTCGAGTATATCAGGTTCTTCTTCCACCTCGTCAGAGATTTGGCTAACAAGCTCTTGGCGTTGATCATCTTTATATAGGTCCCTGCAATACGATCTCCATGTCTCTGCTATGTCTTCTCTGTTTGTTCTCAGGGTTCCAGTGTTATCTTCAATGGCCCAAGTTCTGGCTCTGAAGTCTCTTGTCAGGTAGCGTATTTTTCTAAATAGATCTCTCGGCTGATTATTCTGACCATGTCTCTCAATTTCTTTGCATATACTTTGATAGTACTGTTTTTTGTCGGCCTTACATCTTCGTTTTATTTCTTTATTGACGTTTCTTAAACTAGCTTTTTCCCTTTCACTATGTACACCACTTTTACAAAGATTTCTTCTATTCTCAATTATTTTAAGAGTTTCATCTGTTATCCAGTGTTTCCGTTTCACCGGATTATTTTTCTTTGAGCGATCCACTGTGTTTGTTACGCAATGTTTAACAGTCTCCCATATTTCTTGTGATGTTCCTTTACGAATAGAGGGCATACTTTTCTGTACTTCCTGTAGAAGGTCTTCTTTCTTTCTTAGTTCTATACCTCTTTATATCTTCTTTGTTGTTGGGTGCTTTAAGTTTAAGCATCACATTTAGCTACGAGGAGAGTATGATCGGATCCGCATATCGCCCCTTGTATATGATCTGACTGTTTGAATGGACGATCTCAGCAAGACGATCTCCAGCGAATATGGTGAGGACGTAATCTATTTGATTTCTAAATCTATCTCCAAGGACTTTTCCAAGTATAAAGTCGACGTACATGGTGTTCACCAGGGTATTACTATAAGGGTTTGAAAATTGGTGGACAGAAATTACGGGGCTAGAGATAGGGTACACAAAACAAACCCAAAACGTTTGCGTACGGCTACTCAGGATTTTTTGGAGAGCTGGGCTGCATATAAGTGAATGACAATGGGACTGAATGGGGTAACTACAAAAATGAACCAAAAAGGGGTACTTACATGAATCTCCTGGACAAACACAATACAAGAAGGTTCTTAAG